TCGCCATTTAGTTTTACATTGCCAATACATTAGTTATAGAGATTTTTGTTTTGTTTATTTTTTGTCGTTTATAAACAAATCTGCCTATCTTTTTGCATTGCCACTGTACGTAGTATATGTCCCTAAGAAATGTGTTGAGACAATGCAAAAAGATATGCAGATTTGTTTACAAACGACAAAAAATAAACAAAACAAAAATCTCCATAACTAATGTATTGGCAATGTAAAACTAAATGGCGAACATTTTCGTCTCTGCACATTTCTTATGGACTATATATGCTATGTAGTGACACAGTGGCAGACTTGTTTACAAATATCGGTAAATGAACTAACCAAAAATCTCATTCCTGCGATGAATAGCTGGCTGCCAATACAACAGCCGATATCTCGTTTATGTACTGCAAATGCGTCAGAACAACACAACGCATGAAAAATATCGGTTAAATTTATTTGATATTTGAAATTTATATAAATAAATTTATCTGCAACCAACCTCTGTGATGTGCTCCACCTGTACTTTATTTATTTGACCGCAATGCACCGCTCAGAACAGTGTACCCGTGTGAAAAATTTGTGACTGACTAGCCAGCCATCTAATTTCGGACTTTCTGGCTGAATATCAGTAAATAAAAGTGATTATCTCGAACAAAATATTCGACTGTAGTCAACTTCAGTTATAGTCATCTAGTAGCCAAAATGTCCGAAATTAGACGGCTAGCTGAAAGAATAACTAAAAGTGATTGTTTCTATACAACATTCTTGAATTCAATCAACTTAGCCAGTTTTAGTTATTTGCAGCTACATACAACTGAATGACTGTCAGTCACTTTATTTGCACACGGGTAATCTATCTTCTTCGCGGAAATGTGACAAACCAATGCCAAGCGTTCATTCAGCGCATATTCCTTGACAATGAATTTTAATTCATTCGGTAACTTTAACACCTAACGACTTTTTTCTCTCGCTCTATGCATTGTTATGTCACATGTTTACTATCGTTCGTAGAACTTTCATTTTTATCACGAGCAATTTGAGATAATTTTTTTGCTGATTAGGCTGACTGAAATTTGGATGGATTTTATGGCACAAAACTAAAATGAAATTCAATTTCAAATCTCATAACGCTAATTGGAATGCCTTTTTGATTATTGCCGGTAGAATAGACTCATTTAAGATAAATGTTGTAAATAATTAATTTAAGACTCATAAATTTCAGGCTAGGGGAATATCACGCTCTTGAATCTTGTGAGATATTTGAAATAAACATCAATTGTATGACATATTTTCGAATATTTCGAATAAATAAATCAGATTTTTGTGGATTTTGGAGATATTTGAGATTTTTTGCATTAAATCCGAATAAATACATTTAAATATCATTCATAATCACAAAAATCCACAATATTCCGCCGTATTCACAAATATCCACCATATTTCATACGACAGATTCTTAGAGATAAATTGGATTTTTTTGAAATATTTGAAATAATTCAAGCGTGATATTCCACTAGATTTCAGGTAACGCATAAATTATGCCCACAATGATAACATCAACTATTTTGCAATCATCTAGTCAGATTTTTACATATTTCAACAAAAACTACACACAGAAAAGAATGATACAAATGGTAAAAACGGATTTTTTTTTCGTAAAAATAATCCAAAATCAAGATATCTAAGACAAAAAAAAAATTCAGACAAAACTTGTAAGGATTTTCACGAAAAAAAAAATCCATTGTACCAATAATCTCGACCATTCTTCACACATCTTCACTCAATGTGTAATTTACACAATTCCTGCAAGAACGCGCAACAGCTGGAACAAAAACATTTGTAAACATTACCATTTCGCTTGAACAAGTCACAGAAATTTCTATATTTTCTGCCAAGAATCGAAAAAAAACATGAATCTCGAATGCAACGGACTGAAAATCCCGAAAATATGAAAAAAAAAAATTAGTTAATTACAAAAAAGTGGCGAAGAAATGACTTTTTTCTAAATTACAAAAAAAAAAAAAAAAAAATTACGAAAGAAAATCAGGCAAAAATATCGAAGGCATTTGGACGAATTTTTCACATTTCATCAAAAAAAAATGGACGAAATCGCAGGAAAAATGGCCAGAAACCTGTTACAAATTGCAAAGAAATAAATCCAGCCCATTTGAATTAAAATACTATTTTGTTTTATTATTTCTATTTTTCTTATTTTGTTTTTTTTTTTCACGTGGTTGGTAACAAATACATCATAATTTTACTTTGATTTATCGTCATTTCTCGTATGTTCCTCTCATTTCAAAAGTAAAACAATCCCAAAAAAAAATATTACAGTTACAAATTTCTCATGTCGTCATTAATCAGTAGAGTTTTGTTTGAGTCACAAAAAAAAGATATTTAAAAAAAACATCACACACAAAACGCATGCACGCGTACACAAACACAGTGAGAGACAGATAGGTGTGGATCATTGTAGAAAAGTCATCAAATCGCCGAGTTTGTTGATATAAGTGTCGGGTATTAAGCGTTTATCTTCATCGCTATCACTGTTTTGCCATCGTTCAATGTCATTGAGCCCGTGCATTCCGCTGCCAACGAGAAGTGTCTGAAAGCCGCAGTTTCTTCCCAAAAGGATATCGGTGGCGCAATTATCGCCGATCATCAACGTTCTTGTTGGTTTTGTGAGGCCATCGCTAAGTAATGTTTTGCAAATGGATGGATTTGGTTTGCCTAGATTGTTGATTTTCCGAAATGAGCATGCTTCAATGGCCCGTGCTATAGGCGAAATGCCCGGTATCACCATTCTACCATTGAAATCAACCATTTTGCTGTTGGATGGAATGCGATCGTCCATGCAGCTGGCCAAAAACAGGCAATTCGGATCTCGTAAATAATTGCTCGCCCTCAAAATGTGCGAATAATGAAAATTATGATCATAATTCACTAAAACGGCACCAACATTCGGATCCAAATTCAATGTGTCTAACGTAACATTTGAATAGTGCGTGTTAATAAGCTCGTCATCTGTTTCGTCAACACAATAAATATTGTACGTTTTGAGTTCATCGATGACCGATCGTCCGATTGTGTAAATTTTCTTATCAAAATTTAAGCTCTTCAAGTAGCTGACGGTGGCCAGAATCGGTGTGATAATTTGCTCTTTTGTGATATTGTAGCCACGTTCACGCGCCAATTTTACATATGTGTCACGGGATTTGGTCGCATTGTTTGTTACAAAAAATACACGTTTGCCGATCTCTTGCAATCGATTCAATACCGCTGCACTGCCGTCAATCGCCTTGTTGTTCAGCCAAAGAACGCCTGGACGAAACGAAAGAAGTGAAGAAAAATGAATATAAACAAAGATAGATGAGAAACAATGAGTGAAAAGAAGGTAAACTATTTTCTTTGAGAGTCAAAAACTAATTGCCAAGCCGAACTAATTGTTGTATTGAAACAATCCAATTGATTGTAGATGAACCAATTTGTTGATTTTCATTCCAATTTTTTGTCTCGCAATTCCATTGCCGGTGAGATGAGAAACAACTTAAAGAGAAACCATTCACTTACCATCGCAATCACTGAGCACTGTATCGAATGTTTGCAGCCATTCAATGCCTTTGTCCACGGAAATATTGTGTAGATTTGTTGCACTATCCTTAAACATGTTCTAAAAAAAAAAATTCGCCGATGAGATTGATCCAAAAACACGATTTTCCAATGGAAGAAAATAATGAATCTATATCGAATTGCGTTCGCTCTCTTTTTTTCGGTTTTTTGTTTTTTTTTCTGGTGCGAAAAGTCAATTCTCGTCGTGTTTTGACACTAAAATTCCTTTTGAATGTCAATAAAACTGCGGTGCGATTTGAACGACACAGAGCAAAATGAAACCGAAACGAAAGAACGAAAAAAACAACTATCACAAACGGAATTTTTCTTTGATTGTTGTTGTGTGTATGCCGATTCCAAAACAAAACTAAATATCCGCCGTGACATTCAATGCAATGCGAGCAGTGTACTGAGCGCTCGCACTATTCTCTGCACCGAAGAAATTTCAACTGTCAACCTTGACATTATTATCGGTTTGTCCAAATAAAATGTGACGTTTTGACGATGGGCTTTTGAGCGCGTGCGTTTAAAATTGTTTTTTTCTTTCTACATTTGTTTTTTCCCCCGAATTTTTAGGTTTTTTAGTCGAAAATTATGTTCTTCTTACTCGATTTCTTGTTGATCTACACTTTTTGTATCGACTAATATTGAAAGATTTTCTTGACCTATTGAAAATCTATTTTTTATCGTTGATGAAAGATCAAACTAACCTTACCATTGAAATTCCGCCGTTTCTTCGAGGAACGAAATCTCTTTTGTGTCTATCTTTATTGCTTCTGTTTTAGCTAAAACAAGTCGAATGCTCTCGTCCATGCTATCTATCTTTGCGACGAGATTTTTCCACCATGACAAGATAACAAAAAAAAACAATGGTTTTGTGTCTCTCTTTTCTTCATTTCATGATAAAAAGCATTGTCTTGGGCAAAGAATGGGGTCAAATCGATAGACAACTGTGGTGACTCTCGATTTTCCATGATAAAAAAAAACCCGTGTACTGATGCACTGACAAGACCAATTCAAATAATTCCAGTCGTTTCGTTATCGTTTCGATTGTATTTAAATAAAAAAGAATAAGAATCACGTCACGTCACGTCATTAGCTTAACCGATTATTATCCATCGCGCCATGGCATCGCGCCATAAATGAAAATCAACAAAAACGATTAGATAAATGAAAACCAATTGTTTTTCTGTGATAAAAATAGTAGTTTTTTTTTTGTTTTATTCATCCAGATATATTTGTCTCTTCAAATAAATTAATAAATTAAAACAAATTCGTGTTTAATTCTTCACTCCATTGGTATTACCAACAAATTCGTTTAGGTATGGTAACAGATCGCCGAGTCTTGGTAGAAATACGTCGGGTATGAGTTTTTTATCGTCATTATCTTTGCTTTTGCGCCATTTGTGCACGTCGTTTAAGTGGTGAACGCCGGTTGCGACGAGCATCGTTTGGAAACCGCAATTGGTGCCGAGTAAAATGTCAGTATTAGCGCGATCGCCTGTGTTTTGCGGAACAAAAAAAAAGTCATTGAGTAAAATAGCTCGAATCAAGTCATGGAAGCAGCTGAGAAATTCATTAAAAAAAAAATGAATAGAAATTAAAAATGGTTCATCATACCAATCATAAGTGTTCGTTCCGGAATGATGTTGTCAATGATTGAATCGCAAATGGAAACATTTGGTTTGCCCATAACAATTGGTTCACGTTCGGCACATGTTTGTACGGCCCGTACAATCGATCCGGTACCTGGAACAATGCCCATTTTTGATGGGAAACGTTCATCGGTGTTTGTGCCGATGAACAAACAATTCGGATCGTTCAGATAATTGACGGCTTTTATCATTTTTGGAAAGCTGAAATGCTCATCAAAACCAACAATAACGGCACCCACTTCGGGATCGACTTTAAATTCTCTCAACATGTCAAAGTAAGAGGTTTTTATGACATCTGGCCCAGGTTCAGTGTGTGCAATACCAACACTATCCAATTCCTCTGCAATGCCCGATGAGCCAATCAAATAGACCTTTTTGTTGAATTGCCGCTTTTGCAAGTATTTGGCCGCAGCGTATGACGTTGAAATAATCCCTTCTTCGGTGATATTGAAGCCCATCGTTTGTGCCTTCTCGAGGAAACCAGCTCGTGTTTTTGTCGAATTATTTGTGATGAAATACACACGCTTGCCCAACTCTTGCAGACGATTTACCACTTCGGGCGAACCGTGTATCGGATGATTCATTACCCATAGAACACCTATTGAAATGAATGACAAGATTGGAATCAGTTGACTTTGACAATTTGAAATGACATTTTTTGTCTTTTGGTTGGACAAGTTTTTCGTGAGAAAAGTCACTGAGATCAAAAAATTGAAGCGGAAAAAAGTATTGAGAAAAGGTCTAAGCAACAATTTTATGGAGATAAAGTCGAAAATGTTAAACAATCGGCTCATGTTCATGTTACATCTAATCATAAACATTTCTGGAACTAATCGGTTTGATCTTAACCTTGGTCACGATTTCAGATTCAGGAAAAAAGGTTGTCGAAACAGCAAAAAAAAAAACGCAGAAAATGTTAAAAATATTCATGAAAATTTACCATCGCAATCCGTCAATACAGTGTCAAATGAGTTCAACCATTCATTGATGATTTCATTGGATGTTTTCAATAGTTCGGTACATGTTTGCTTGAACATCTTGCAAGAATGAATGTTACGTCGTCTAGACAGAAAAACAAAAGACACAACATGAATTAAAACATTCAATTGCTGACTGAAATCGAGGTTAATTTCGTTCGATTAGCTCAATTAATCTATATTTTAATTGATCGAATTAAACACGAATGCCAATCCAGCACTTTAAATCAGTTTAAGTTCTTCTATTTGCTTTGAATTACATAAGATTCATGGCAAATTGCACAGATTACTCTGAATGTGCCACTTAAGTGTTCTAACCAAAAATGCAATTGGGTATCCGACTGAAGGAATTTGATATCAATCAAAATAACCGAATGTAAATCTCGTTTGTACGATAAATTGATACGATGAGTAGCCGATATTATCGGCTTTTCACACAAACTATGGCACACACTGAACTTGAAAAAAACGCAGCGCAAACAAATTACATTGAGTATTTGTCTCGGAGAAAGAAAGAGAGAAAGAGAGAAATACAGTGGCTACGTTCAATGACGCACCAAAATGTCAGTCGTTCAATCGCACTCCAGATATTACTTCAGTCCAATTGATTGGACTAAGCTAGTCTAAGCAATGTTGAATTCGAATAATCGGCTGATAATTATTTGCTTTTTTTTATTTTTTTTTATTATTTTATGGGTTATTTCATTTTTTTGGCACTAAAAAAAATTGATGTTTCTATACAATAATGAATAGTGCCTCACACTAAACTATCTGAATTTGTATTTATTTTTATCTACGATTTACGATATTTATAAAAAAAAACCTTGTGTCCACACACATTTGCAACTTCATGAAAAGAGTATGTTACGTTGTATGTCTCGGTGAGCCTTTGGCTTGCTTGTCAAATCGAACCTGGAGCTCGCAAGCGTTATATAAGTAGTATAGAAATGTATATTTGGTGCCAGAGGGGGGTTCATTTTCATGCAAAATGCACAGAGGGGAGAAGAGAGAAGTAAAAACCAAAATTTTTGAGGGGAAATATGGAAAAGGTGTTTCCCCGATACCTACATCGGATTTCACGCATGCGCGAAATTTCTCCACAAAAACTCTTGTCCGCGCCACATTTGAATGGAAAATGAACCTTCATGGAATAACATATGTTTGGATGAAACATACATTTCTAATTTTTGTTACAAGTGCTTTTGTTTTATATGTATACTTGTATGGAACGTGGACATTTTTCCGCGGAACTTTTCTACGAAACATTTTTCCTCTGAGCCCAACATATGTTGAACGCTTACATACAGTACATGTAAAACGTCGCGCTAACGTCGAACGAGACGCTAACGTCTCATCGGCGTATATTTTTGTTTGGGAAAGAGCCAAAAAATGTTCACGTGTTTCGTCCCTAAAAGTTAATTATCTGTAGGGACATCCACATTCCAAGTTTAAATGTATTCTATATTAAAGCTGATGTTCATAGCTAAAAAATAAGTCCAATACGACTTGTCTATGACGTCTGGTTGGGTATTTATGGCCTCAGAAGTGACGACATGTCGGTTTTTTGCATAATTTTGCACCTTTTTGGTATTAGCATCGCTTCAGGAGCCATAACTTTCCATCCAGACGTCACAGGCAAGTCATATTGGGCTTATTTTTTAGCTAAGAACATCAGCTTTAATATAGAATACGTTTCAGCTTGGAATATGGCTGTTGTCATCACTCAATTTGGCCAAATGTGACCAAAAGTCCACCAAATGCTCAAAAATTGGCCTAAAACTCGAAATTTTACCGCATATAAGGAATTTTTTTCGATAAAATAGCTAATTAACAGGTTCATATTATCTACAGAGACAAACTTATAACAATCTAAGTGAAAAATTAGCAATTACTAGTACGTAGTAGGTCAAAAGCCCATATTTTTCAAACATGTTGCTCTTTTTCGTCACTTTTTCACAATAATTAAGTCCATAAATTACTGAAATATGCCACATATATTATATCAAAATGTTCGTACGGATCTCGGCTATACTTTAGAAGTCAAAAACGGTACATAAATCCATCACTCGGGTGATTTCTATTGAGTCGATTGTCGAAAAAGGCAAAAAATGACTTTTTTCGGGGCATTTTTTGCTCTAACATGCCAACAGTGCATTCAAAAGAGCTGGTGTGTTGGTGAAAGTTGTTGATATTGACGAGACAAACAAAACCCCATCACCAGATGCTAAAAAACTCAGTTTGCTTACGGGATATATCGAAAAAACCACATAAATCGATATTCTGAAATTCCAGCTCAAGGTGTAAAATGCCGATGGATTTTTTTCGAAAACTGGAGCCAATCTGAACAAACCGGGCCAAATGGTCTCTTATTTTGGCCTATATTTTCACCTGGTAAGGTCAGAACTTTGCAATGTTTTTTTTATTTTATTTTTTTTGTTGTACAGTGTAATTGGTGTGGCCAATTGAAAAGAGGTTCTCAAGAATTTGTTTTCTTAAATTTGGCAATTTATTCAAAGATAAAATTTTGATATCAAAAAATGTTGAATGAAATACAATAATTTATCAAAAAAAAATGTTGTTCATGTTTCAAAAACAGTTGAAAATAATTATTTTTACATTTAGATTTTTCAGGGAAAAAAATTGGCAGAAATTTTGGAATTATTTTAAGATTCAAAAGCACTCTTAAGTGTACATATTCAATTGAAATCTGATTTCTCCCATTACCACAGCAGTGGACGAATGTCGCGTTGACGTATGTATTGACTGGTTTACGGTGCATTATCAATCGTTCGGATAATGGTGTTCTTTTTGATAACATTTTCAGTATTTGCAACCGTTTTTATGATCTCTGAAAGAAAATTAAACGAAAAACAATTTTGTATTAGTTTGACTAATAATTATCGTCAGGATAGCAAAAAATTCGCATAATTACCTTGTTCTTCATCTTTAACGTTCCTCAACCAGTTTTCATATAAAGAAATTTTAACAGATGATTGTAATAAGGGGATTACCGAGCTGTGGTCATAAACGTAAAGCCGCCATCCATCTATCCCAAAGAGAAACGGCTTTCCACTATCGTCTCTGAAAACCACTGGAGCTGAAAAAAATGGAAAAGTTACACGGAATTAGTACCATTTTCATAATTGTTTTTGTGTAAAGTTTTTTAGGATCTTTTTAAAAAATTGAAATGAAAAACACTTACCACCCTCGTCATCATCTTCAGTATACATTTTCAAAGTTTCATTGCCATAGCAAAAGTAATCATCATGTAGTATAGATTTTCGCACTCTAAATAGTGTCTCGTTGCAAGTCTTGGAGGGAATGATAGGAAGGGTGATATATCTTAAGTTTTCACTTGTGATATCCTTTGATCCATCAGGTGTTCCGTATCCACTAATGATAAGCGATTTGTTCTCATAAGTCTCATTTTCCGATGGAAGGGAAATTGCGCAGATGTTGGGATTTCCGTCTAACGGAATAGAGTCTTTCAGTAAAACGACAGAGAGGTCAACGTAGTTTTGATTATGAATAAAATGATCTTTCACTTCATAAGCAGTTATTTCAACACCATGCACATGATATAAATCATAAGTTCCAACTCGAACGTAAAAAGAGGTTTTCGTCTACATTCCCAAATTTTTTTCGAACAATCTTGGGATGTAATTACAACGGTTTCATTCATGCTAAATTGCTATACCCAGCCGGCGTAAAACCTTCACAAAAAATCGCGGCTTGATAACAGAAATTTTTCATTTATGATGCTCCTACGGAAGTACCACCGGTTATACACGACACATTGTGCACAATACTGCATATAAACGCAGTGAAGACGAATTTTTTGACGGAAAATTCCATCTTTTTTACGGTCTCTTCTCAATATTTCGTTTCTGTAACTACTCACAAACTTTACTGTTATGAAAATAACACTTTTGAAACTTTTATACTTTTAACTTTGCTAAGGAAATGCATACTTCATACAAAATGGAACGCTTGCAGTGAAATCAAATCAAAAACAAGACAGTACTACATCAGCTTAAAAATAAAGCCATTTTACTGAAATCAGCAGAAAAAATTGTGTCTGTTTCTTTTAAACATATTTGTTTTCACCGTTATCAGCCTTGCTTTGCTGAACACATAAAAAATAAAACTTGCGATTGATTTGGATCTGATTTTTATTACATTGCAAAATTTAATAGAAATAATACGTAGATTATTTGCTGTGATTTGATAGACAATCAATGTTTGTACTGATTAATGGGTGAAATTCAGTGATGGTTTTTCGTTAGCCAGCATTGTCTTAGCCTTGGCTGACACCAACAACTGGTGTAAGCCAATCGTTAGCCAGCTATCTGTGTGAAATGAGTACATTCAAAGTATAATAATTTTTGATTTGCGTATTCTGATTCAAATCATACAAATTTAAAAAAAAATTAATATATTTCAATTAATTTTCAATTTAAAAGTCATTTTTATAATTTGAGTTATTTTTTTTTTTCAAAAACTTAATAAAAAAAATGTCGATGTTTGGTTTCATTTAAACTCTGACCTGGTGATTTGAATGTCAGTCACAAAAGTCAGTTCAGGTGATTGCGTTCAGTTCTTAATGAAGTTTTTTCACTGGTCTACACATTCGTTAGCCAGTATACACTTATGCGGCTAATTAGCCAGCTAATTGGTTCTTCACTGGTGAAATTTGCTCGATTGCAATTGACAATTAAAGTATCTTATTTAAAATATTGAGTGAATTAATAGAGTTGATAGAAATGAAGCTCTTATTATACCACTTGTGTACGATCTTCAGCATAGAGGTGTTGGACTATCTACGGTAGTACACGTCTCGGTATTCTTAAAGAAACAAAAAATATTCATTAATTGAACAGCTATCAATATCGTCATAATAATATTTAGTAATTACCATCAAACATTTAAAAAACTCCGAAATTTTTACAGCTTCACTTACTGGCCCAAACCAGCTTCTAGGTCCTTGTGACATAATTCCCAAAAGCAGCGGTGCTTCATTAGTGATAAGATCTTTTTTTCTTCTTAGAATCACGACACCTATTAGAAATCATTGAATTGAAATAAATCTCAAATATGAAAACAATTAACAAAACGTCTTGCCTCCTTCAAGTTCGAGACTAGGGCCTTCTAGTGGTGTCTGTATAAAGAAAGATGGACATTTTCCGGAAATATCAGCGATTATAACTATTGATGCTTCAATCCAATGTAGTCCACTTGTATTTTTAGCTCTTGTATAACCACTAACTTCAACGGCGATTCCATTCTCAACATAGATGTCGTCTTCTTTTTGAGCCAAATTTATTGTACAAACCGTGGGCCCAATTGGTAATGGTTCTTTGAATGTTAGCAAAGCCATATCTCTACCTGTAGGATCACCGGGGATGGAAACGTTTTGGAGTTTTTCTTTATCAAATCGAGGAAAGTAAATGCGTTTAACTTCATCTACACGCCTTACTATGCCACCCTCCAATCTATTCATTGAACCAACTCGCACAGAAATATTTTTCCCAACATTCATCCACATTTTTTGGAAATCACAACATTCCGTATATATCAAACATTGGAAGGATGTAAGAATTTTTGTAGATGAAATTATTGTTCCGCTGCAAACAATATCTTCTTCTTCGATGTAACGGCTGCATGATGACAAAATTGGGGTAAATCAGACTCTAACATTTCATGATGACGCACTTGTATTGTGAATAGTGGAAAACAAGCAAGAAACAAAAAAATCAACATCATATTTATACGAATTAATTGGTTTATTCAACTGAAATAGTCGTTCTTTTAATCGAAAATTTACAAAACTTTTTTTTCACTTATTTTAATGTACG